GAACTCTCTACTGTTTTAGTAAAGATAGTACTTTATCTTAGAAAAAGTACCTCTTGATGTATTTATTTATTCATTTACCTATTTATCTTTAGGAAACGAATACTGTCCTGAAAAACATGCTCAGGAAGTTGAGGGATATAGAGGTAGAGCACCATGGCTGCAGCCAGATGCTGAAGCTCCAGGCCAATCGTCTGGATTTCAAGGAAAAACGTCAGGAGAGGCTCATCAAGGAACTGGAGGTAAAGCTTTCCCTGATGCTAGAAGTCTCAGCAAGCATGGGAACAACGAATCAGTTTAATTTCTGATGGGTGGAACCTCTGAGTTGGGCTATGAGTACCTTGTATTTGATTAACAAAAATATGGAGCATCAGTTTTGTAGAAAAGATAAAAACTGGTGTTTGAGCAGCAGATGGGAAGAGGTTTATGTCACTGGGAAAATGCTCTTAGCAATATAGAGGTATAGAGGGAGTATTTGTGCATGTTATGTTTATTTTTTAATTAAGTATGTTAAGCAGTTAAATCTTGTGGTAGGAGGCAAAGCTTATGCCTTTTGGCTGATGTTGTGGAGCAGATATGGTAAGCCTGTGCTGTTGCTGACTTTCTCTTTAGTAGGCCTTCCACAAGTCTCTGTTTCTCAATTATTTTCTTTTGTGAATGTGTGAGGTTACACAGAGTTTAAATGTATTGCCAACAGCTCGTATTTTAAAATTTTTGTATATTTTTTTGTTAATGTTTCCTTACTGAAGTGCTCAGAGTCAGGATGCAGTCTCACATACTTTCTACTTTGCTTTAGCTGTGCAAAATCAATTACTTCACTTGTATCTATGCAGCCTTAAGTGTCTTAAATGACTTTCAATATTAATGTCTTTTTCTTGATCTTTGTTGCATCACTTGAAGGCAGGAGTCATCTTGGGGTGTATTGTCTTTTTCAAAACAGTCATCAATCTAAGCGAAAAGATTTTTTAAATAGAAAACAGTGTAGTTAAAATTGCATATAGATTTCTATTACAGCAGCTCTGTAGTTACTGCTTTTGCTGAAAGCAGTTTTTCAATTTAAATTCTATGTCCATGTCATTATATGGAGATAGGTATCTGTGATTATTAAAAACGCAGCAAGAACATAATCCTATATCAATTTTTTTAGTTAAACAGAAAATACTGTTCTAATATTCTGGATATGGTTTTTTATTTCTTTTATTTATTTACTAATATGAATTTCCACAGTTCCAAAGTGCAAGTAGTTCAGATACCACGGGTTGGTTTATGGAGACCTGATAAACTGAACAAATGAAGTTTTCTTTGCATGATGTTATCATCTTTCTGGACTTAAATATTTTCAAAATGTGCTTTTAGGCAGCTACAGTGAAAACAAAGAAACTGGAGGAAAATGCTGAAGCAGCGAGACTAGCACATATAGAATGTAAATACACGACAGAAATCATGCAGGTAAACTTTTTATTAAATATTTGGTAGAAATTTACAGTAACACAGAAGATGAACTAGTAAAAGTACTATCTTCCAAAAATGTTGACTTCCTTACTTCAATGAAAACACTGAGTAGATTTTTTGCAATGAGTGTCAAAGTTGTAAAAGATTAGAAAAATGTCTCCTTTTTTCAGGCAACTATCAAGTTAATAGAATAAATACTAAAATAAAACGTCACATTCTTATGTTTGAGAATTCAAAGTAGCATTAAAGCAGTAAGGGGAAAGGAAATGTTTCACAACTGTTAAAATATCAAGTCCTATATCTTTGGAATGGACTTAGATATTTTTGGAGATATAGTGCATACATCCAGCTTCTCTAGGTGTGAGATATTAATGCATCCTGAGACTGCAGTTCCAAATGTATTCAGAGTACCTTTCAGTTTCAAAGCTACTATGTCTGTAGCAAAGCTACTATGTCTGTAGTTTCCAGAGAAGTTTGAATTTACAAAAAAATGTAATATATATACCTGAATATTAAATTATTGTGTTATTAAACTGTATCACACAGGGTTTGAGCCATTCAATAAATTAGTTTATTTTAAAAAACAAGTGTGAAAAGCCTGTAAGATGATTGCTGACTGATCTCATACTGACTGACAAAGTCTTCACACTGGATTTTTGAAAAACTAAATGAGAAAACAAACAGGAATTTCATCTTTTCTTTTCTTGTTTTCTGAGGAACACAAAAACACATTGCCACTTTTTCAGTCAGTTATTTTCTTATGACCTTCTCTAAGTACAGGTACTTAGATTTCTTGAAGTGATGATTAAATAAGTAGGGATGACTTAGTTTTCTTGATTCACTCTCTGCTTTCATAACATACAAAGGAATTGGAAGGCTAACATTACCTGAAGGTAGAGATTTTTCTTTTATGGTTAAGAGCTGGTAAGGTTTTCTTAATTTTTTATGATGAACAAGCTCCACATGAGCTTTTTTTTGAGTGTAAGTGTAGCTTTTACTGTTAATCCCACCCTTTCATGAGTCTGCTTAAAAAGATAGGATTTCCTGGAAAACGTCAGTAATATAAATAATTGAAAACAGGAAAATCCAAACACCACGAAAGGACAACTAAAGGACAACAATTTTGGTCAATATATCTATTTCTCTCTGTTTTGAGCTGTATGAAGTAATACATTTTCACATATGTTCAGTGCTTTCTAATTCCATATAGAATTAATAGAATATATTCACCTGTAAAAAGCAGAACAGAACAGTGAACAGCATTAAAGACCATGATAGTCTTTTCTAACTTCCTTTAACTGCTTTCTTATCACTTGGTAGTTAAGAATTCAAGAACTTGAAGATGCTCTGAATGAAGAGCAAGGCGGCAGGAGAGAAGCTTTTACAGTGGTAGCACAGGAAGATTTCAGAGAGTCAGAAAATGCACAGGAAAGAAGAAAAAAAGAGTAAGTTTCCTTCTAAAGCCATCATAAAATGGCAGTAAACAGCTTGAGTACAACTCATAGTTTACATTCCCTGCAGTTTTCAGTCAGCAGAAAATCTAGTGCAATCTGCCAAACCAAGCCAAAGGGTCAGAACCTGGCAGTCCATTAATAACAGTCCCATATCGGTAACCAAAGTATTGTGAATGTGTACAGATGATAACTGGCCTGTCACAGATTATTTGCCAAACCAAAAATTTTGAAAATCATAGTTATGATAGAGTCCAGCCTCCAGCAGTGGTTGGGGTGAGCTTAGGGAAACACATCCAGCAGGTCTAGAAAAGATGGCTTTTCTAAATACGCTTGAATTATTATGCAAACATTGTTTTCCACTTCAGCAAGCCAGTTGAATCTCTTAAGACTCAGAGGAAATCACCTGGGATATGTTTCCTGCCCAGCACAGTCTGCTCTGTGTGTGGTAACAGAACTTGGGTGACCTCTCTTTCAGCCTAGAACTGTATGGGTCTGTATACACAGGTGTTCATGTTGAGTTACACGATGAGTAGTAGAGAATGAAAGAAGCTGGTTTTCCTACAAGAAAGAAAGTTTGCGGCCTGAGCAACTCATTCAAGATTCATGGTTATGCAGATGTTTTTAGTAAGATACTTCAAACTTGAGCTTTAAAAGCCTTTGTCATCCTATGCAAATATCAATTTTAAGCAAGCGTTTGGCTTGCCTGACACCATGCCTAAATACTCAGGCAATCTTTTTAAATTCTTGGATTCCTGTCTCTGTTTCTGTCTCCTTTGTGCTGTTGTCTGGCCTTGTAGTTTTCTCATCAGCTGCCTGTTTAGTCATGCCAGGCTCTTGTGTATCTGTTTTCCTGACTGACACAGTACAAGAACAGATTAAAATTCTGGGTAGTCTGCTTTAGAAATCAAACCAGAGCATGTGGAAACCTTAGGAGCAAGAACTGTACATGAAATCAGGGTTGATGATGCAAGAGGTGACATGGTCTCTCTGAAGAGAGCTATTGTCATAATTAAACTATGAAGAATTCTGTTTGTTATATAAAATTTCAAGGCCATATCCAAATAATCAATTGAATTTCATGACATGAGGCTTGGAAACTGAAAACATAACCACTTGAAAAGTCTTTCTTAGAAGGAATAGAAATTTCTTCATTCACCTAAAAAAGTCAGGCAACTTCAGAAGCCATGCGACATGCTAATGTAGTATCTGCCATATTCATTGATTGTCCTTTAAAAGAATGTAGTTCATTTGAGAAAAGTAATTTTGGTTAAAGTGTCTTATTGTGCAAACATTCCAGTTTACAAAGACAACCTTCATCCTTAAATGTGCAATGCAGAGAGGGGGCTAAGGATAGGAACGAAACTGAAGAGCCCTCTGGGAGATTAGTGAATGCTGCAACCAGCTTCAGCCTGCATGAAGGCCCAGAGGTAAGGGAAAAAAAAAAAAGGTTTTTTTAAGCATACTGTCAAAATATTTACTGTGCTGAGGATTTGCTGCATTTTTCCATGATGAGCTGTGGAAGAGCTCTGCCATTCTCTTATCCTGTTTGTTATTATGTTATCTTTTTTAAAATTTAGTACATGAATAAATGTAATCAATGCCTTGGAGAAGTTAATTTGAAAATGTTTATAAAGTGATATGCATCTATTTAATTCAAGAGTTGTTTTCAGCAAACTGTTATTTTAAAAGTATAGGTAGGGTGTATTGGCATTCCTAATTAAGAAGGCATTTTGTAGATACGGAATATGATTTAATGTGAAGAATATTCTGTCTTTCCACCCAAACTTTTTTGTCAGATTTCATTAGCTACCATTGTAGAAATGTTTATTTCTATTTCATACATCCTTTTGGTTTTATTTGGTGCAAATATTTGGCTATAAAATTTGCTTGAAAATTGTTGGTTTGAAGGTAGCACATCAGAGGGGATTTTTTGTTGTTGTTTTGTTTGTTTGCTTGCTTTGCTGTGGATTTGGCACATTGGATGTATTTCACTGGATTGTTTTCCAAAATCTTTCTCCTCTTATATTAACACTTTGGGCCTTTCTACTTTACCAAAATACACTTTGAAAAAAAATTTTGCCTTTTTTTTTTTCTTTGCATAGCAGCAGCGAAAACGGAAAGATCTTAGTATATCTAGAAATTCTCTCCCATCATTGTGTGGTAACATTTGCTCCATTTCTACTCTCAGTAATATAAACGTTTTTTTGGTAGTGGCTTGGAAACTTCTCTTTTTCTGTCAAAGCTCTGAGCATGGAAGGTAAATGTGGTCTGTTCCCTATTGATAGGAGCAAAGACCTGCATCAGAGGGTCTTCAGATTTGTGGGTGTCTTTTCTTCAGTTGATGGAGTTATTCCACACTTTGTCTTAATGTTATCCACTGCCCAGGCAGACCTGTAATTTATAAACAGAAGAAAAATAAAATCAGAATCTTCCTTTTTCTTTCTGGGAGAATAACAACTTCTTCCATACAAGCATTAATATATTAAAAGACATTTTAATACATTTACAGTTAGCCTGAAAAAGTAATTTCATCAGGCACAAAAGGAAGAGAAAAGTAGAGAGACAAAAAGCAACTGTCTTCCCTAACTACAGACAGTAATGATTGCTATTTATAACTACAAAACAAAATTACAAGGTGAAAACGTTCTACTAGAAACCATAAGTGCTTGGTAGTTGTTGTTGTGTTTTAAGAGTTATCCTTTTTATTTTTATTCCTTGATAAAATGCATGNGAACTCTCTACTGTTTTAGTAAAGATAGTACTTTATCTTAGAAAAAGTACCTCTTGATGTATTTATTTATTCATTTACCTATTTATCTTTAGGAAACGAATACTGTCCTGAAAAACATGCTCAGGAAGTTGAGGGATATAGAGGTAGAGCACCATGGCTGCAGCCAGATGCTGAAGCTCCAGGCCAATCGTCTGGATTTCAAGGAAAAACGTCAGGAGAGGCTCATCAAGGAACTGGAGGTAAAGCTTTCCCTGATGCTAGAAGTCTCAGCAAGCATGGGAACAACGAATCAGTTTAATTTCTGATGGGTGGAACCTCTGAGTTGGGCTATGAGTACCTTGTATTTGATTAACAAAAATATGGAGCATCAGTTTTGTAGAAAAGATAAAAACTGGTGTTTGAGCAGCAGATGGGAAGAGGTTTATGTCACTGGGAAAATGCTCTTAGCAATATAGAGGTATAGAGGGAGTATTTGTGCATGTTATGTTTATTTTTTAATTAAGTATGTTAAGCAGTTAAATCTTGTGGTAGGAGGCAAAGCTTATGCCTTTTGGCTGATGTTGTGGAGCAGATATGGTAAGCCTGTGCTGTTGCTGACTTTCTCTTTAGTAGGCCTTCCACAAGTCTCTGTTTCTCAATTATTTTCTTTTGTGAATGTGTGAGGTTACACAGAGTTTAAATGTATTGCCAACAGCTCGTATTTTAAAATTTTTGTATATTTTTTTGTTAATGTTTCCTTACTGAAGTGCTCAGAGTCAGGATGCAGTCTCACATACTTTCTACTTTGCTTTAGCTGTGCAAAATCAATTACTTCACTTGTATCTATGCAGCCTTAAGTGTCTTAAATGACTTTCAATATTAATGTCTTTTTCTTGATCTTTGTTGCATCACTTGAAGGCAGGAGTCATCTTGGGGTGTATTGTCTTTTTCAAAACAGTCATCAATCTAAGCGAAAAGATTTTTTAAATAGAAAACAGTGTAGTTAAAATTGCATATAGATTTCTATTACAGCAGCTCTGTAGTTACTGCTTTTGCTGAAAGCAGTTTTTCAATTTAAATTCTATGTCCATGTCATTATATGGAGATAGGTATCTGTGATTATTAAAAACGCAGCAAGAACATAATCCTATATCAATTTTTTTAGTTAAACAGAAAATACTGTTCTAATATTCTGGATATGGTTTTTTATTTCTTTTATTTATTTACTAATATGAATTTCCACAGTTCCAAAGTGCAAGTAGTTCAGATACCACGGGTTGGTTTATGGAGACCTGATAAACTGAACAAATGAAGTTTTCTTTGCATGATGTTATCATCTTTCTGGACTTAAATATTTTCAAAATGTGCTTTTAGGCAGCTACAGTGAAAACAAAGAAACTGGAGGAAAATGCTGAAGCAGCGAGACTAGCACATATAGAATGTAAATACACGACAGAAATCATGCAGGTAAACTTTTTATTAAATATTTGGTAGAAATTTACAGTAACACAGAAGATGAACTAGTAAAAGTACTATCTTCCAAAAATGTTGACTTCCTTACTTCAATGAAAACACTGAGTAGATTTTTTGCAATGAGTGTCAAAGTTGTAAAAGATTAGAAAAATGTCTCCTTTTTTCAGGCAACTATCAAGTTAATAGAATAAATACTAAAATAAAACGTCACATTCTTATGTTTGAGAATTCAAAGTAGCATTAAAGCAGTAAGGGGAAAGGAAATGTTTCACAACTGTTAAAATATCAAGTCCTATATCTTTGGAATGGACTTAGATATTTTTGGAGATATAGTGCATACATCCAGCTTCTCTAGGTGTGAGATATTAATGCATCCTGAGACTGCAGTTCCAAATGTATTCAGAGTACCTTTCAGTTTCAAAGCTACTATGTCTGTAGCAAAGCTACTATGTCTGTAGTTTCCAGAGAAGTTTGAATTTACAAAAAAATGTAATATATATACCTGAATATTAAATTATTGTGTTATTAAACTGTATCACACAGGGTTTGAGCCATTCAATAAATTAGTTTATTTTAAAAAACAAGTGTGAAAAGCCTGTAAGATGATTGCTGACTGATCTCATACTGACTGACAAAGTCTTCACACTGGATTTTTGAAAAACTAAATGAGAAAACAAACAGGAATTTCATCTTTTCTTTTCTTGTTTTCTGAGGAACACAAAAACACATTGCCACTTTTTCAGTCAGTTATTTTCTTATGACCTTCTCTAAGTACAGGTACTTAAATTTCTTGAAGTGATGATTAAATAAGTAGGGATGACTTAGTTTTCTTGATTCACTCTCTGCTTTCATAACATACAAAGGAATTGGAAGGCTAACATTACCTGAAGGTAGAGATTTTTCTTTTATGGTTAAGAGCTGGTAAGGTTTTCTTAATTTTTTATGATGAACAAGCTCCACATGAGTTTTTTTTGAGTGTAAGTGTAGCTTTTACTGCTAATCCCACCCTTTCATGAGCCTGCTTAAAAAGATAGGATTTCCTGGAAAACGTCAGTAATATAAATAATTGAAAACAGGAAAATCCAAACACCACGAAAGGACAACAAAAGGACAACAATTTTGGTCAATATATCTATTTCTCTCTGTTTTGAGCTGTATGAAGTAATACATTTTCACATATGTTCAGTGCTTTCTAATTCCATATAGAATTAATAGAATATATTCACCTGTAAAAAGCAGAACAGAACAGTGAACAGCATTAAAGACCATGATAGTCTTTTCTAACTTCCTTTAACTGCTTTCTTATCACTTGGTAGTTAAGAATTCAAGAACTTGAAGATGCTCTGAATGAAGAGCAAGGCGGCAGGAGAGAAGCTTTTATAGTGGTAGCACAGAAAGATTTCAGAGAGTCAGAAAATGCACAGGAAAGAGGAAAAAAAGAGTAAGTTTCCTTCTAAAGCCATCATAAAATGGCAGTAAACAGCTTGAGTACAACTCATAGTTTACATTCCCTGCAGTTTTCAGTCAGCAGAAAATCTAGTGCAATCTGCCAAACCAAGCCAAAGGGTCAGAACCTGGCAGTCCATTAATAACAGTCCCATATCGGTAACCAAAGTATTGTGAATGTGTACAGATGATAACTGGCCTGTCACAGATTATTTGCCAAACCAAAAATTTTGAAAATCATAGTTATGATAGAGTCCAGCCTCCAGCAGTGGTTGGGGCAGCAGGTCTAGAAAAGATGGCTTTTCTAAATACGCTTGAATTATTATGCAAACATTGTTTTCCACTTCAGCAAGCCAGTTGAATCTCTTAAGACTCAGAGGAAATCACCTGGGATATGTTTCCTGCCCAGCACAGTCTGCTCTGTGTGTGGTAACAGAACTTGGGTGACCTCTCTTTCAGCCTAGAACTGTATGGGTCTGTATACACAGGTGTTCATGTTGAGTTACACGATGAGTAGTAGAGAATGAAAGAAGCTGGTTTTCCTACAAGAAAGAAAGTTTGCGGCCTGAGCAACTCATTCAAGATTCATGGTTATGCAGATGTTTTTAGTAAGATACTTCAAACTTGAGCTTTAAAAGCCTTTGTCATCCTATGCAAATATCAATTTTAAGCAAGCGTTTGGCTTGCCTGACACCATGCCTAAATACTCAGGCAATCTTTTTAAATTCTTGGATTCCTGTCTCTGTTTCTGTCTCCTTTGTGCTGTTGTCTGGCCCTGTAGTTTTCTCATCAGCTGCCTGTTTAGTCATGCCAGGCTCTTGTGTATCTGTTTTCCTGACTGACACAGTCAGATTAAAATTCTGGGTAGTCTGCTTTAGAAATCAAACCAGAGCATGTGGAAACCTTAGGAGCAAGAACTGTACATGAAATCAGGGTTGATGATGCAAGAGGTGACATGGTCTCTCTGAAGAGAGCTATTGTCATAATTAAACTATGAAGAATTCTGTTTGTTATATAAAATTTCAAGGCCATATCCAAATAATCAATTGAATTTCATGACATGAGGCTTGGAAACTGAAAACATAACCACTTGAAAAGTCTTTCTTAGAAGGAATAGAAATTTCTTCATTCACCTAAAAAAGTCAGGCAACTTCAGAAGCCATGCGACATGCTAATGTAGTATCTGCCATATTCATTGATTGTCCTTTAAAAGAATGTAGTTCATTTGAGAAAAGTAATTTTGGTTAAAGTGTCTTATTGTGCAAACATTCCAGTTTACAAAGACAACCTTCATCCTTAAATGTGCAATGCAGAGAGGGGGCTAAGGATAGGAACGAAACTGAAGAGCCCTCTGGGAGATTAGTGAATGCTGCAACCAGCTTCAGCCTGCATGAAGGCCCAGAGGTAAGGGAAAAAAAAAAAAAGGTTTTTTTAAGCATACTGTCAAAATATTTACTGTGCTGAGGATTTGCTGCATTTTTCCATGATGAGCTGTGGAAGAGCTCTGCCATTCTCTTATCCTGTTTGTTATTATGTTATCTTTTTTAAAATTTAGTACATGAATAAATGTAATCAATGCCTTGGAGAAGTTAATTTGAAAATGTTTATAAAGTGATATGCATCTATTTAGTTCAAGAGTTGTTTTCAGCAAACTGTTATTTTAAAAGTATAGGTAGGGTGTATTGGCGTTCCTAATTAAGAAGGCATTTTGTAGATACGGAATATGATTTAATGTGAAGAATATTCTGTCTTTCCACCCAAACTTTTTTGTCAGGTTTCATTAGCTACCATTGTAGAAATGTTTATTTCTATTTCATACATCCTTTTGGTTTTAGTGCAAATATTTGGCTATAAAATTTGCTTGAAAGTTGTTGGTTTGAAGGTAGCACATCAGAGGGGATTTTTTGTTGTTGTTTTGTTTGTTTGCTTGCTTTGCTGTGGATTTGGCACATTGGATGTATTTCACTGGATTGTTTTCCAAAATCTTTCTCCTCTTATATTAACACTTTGGGCCTTTCTACTTTACCAAAGTACACTTTGAAAAAAAATTTTGCCTTTTTTTTTTTTCTTTGCATAGCAGCAGCGAAAATGGAAAGATCTTAGTATATCTAGAAATTCTCTCCCATCATTGTGTGGTAACATTTGCTCCATTTCTACTCTTAGTAATATAAACATTTTTTTGGTAGTGGCTTGGAAACTTCTCTTTTTCTGTCAAAGCTCTGAGCATGGAAGGTAAATGTGGTCTGTTCCCTATTGATAGGAGCAAAGACCTGCATCAGAGGGTCTTCAGATTTGTGGGTGTCTTTTCTTCAGTTGATGGAGTTATTCCACACTTTGTCTTAATGTTATCCACTGCCCAGGCAGACCTGTAATTTATAAACAGAAGAAAAATAAAATCAGAATCTTCCTTTTTCTTTCTGGGAGAATAACAACTTCTTCCATACAAGCATTAATATATTAAAAGACATTTTAATACATTTACAGTTAGCCTGAAAAAGTAATTTCATCAGGCACAAAAGGAAGAGAAAGGTAGAGAGACAAAAAGCAACTGTCTTCCCTAACTACAGACAGTAATGATTGCTATTTATAACTACAAAACAAAATTACAAGGTGAAAACGTTCTACTAGAAACCGTAAGTGCTTGGTAGTTGTTGTTGTGTTTTAAGAGTTATCCTTTTTATTTTTATTCCTTGATAAAATGCATGTTACACATGACAAGAATTCAGGACATAATTCTGTTCATGATCACAATTTCTGGTAATGGAAACAGTATTTAATAAACAGTATTTAACAGTGAATTAATGTTATGCCACTGAAAGGCAAAAAAAAAGAAAAATATTGTCTCACTGTCATATTCATAGAGCTCATTGTTTTAATTGTTTTACTCAAAGGATTTCAAACCACAGGACTGTCCTGAGCAGGTAATAAAAACATTTTATTTATATCTATTTATTTATATTTTATTTATATATTTATTATTTGGAAGAGTTGTAGTAGTGGATCCCTTATAAGGTTAGATATTTATTGCCTTGGATGGTTTTGTATTTTTCTGAAAGGTATTTGTATTCGTTTGGGAGGCAGAAGTGCCTGTATGTGATCCTGTTTACTCCATTGAAACAGTTTTGATTTTGCTTCCCAAAATGAAAAAGCAGAAGACTGTAGCAGAAACTAAGCACAGAAAACATTTAATATATTGCTGTTGGTTTTTGCTATACTCACGTGAAAATGGTGTGAAAATGTCAGGGTGTTCCCTTCATTTTCCCTTCCTACTTTCCTGACCTATACAGTGTTTTTTCATATTTTATACCACTTTTATGCCCCCTGAATATGTTCTTTCCACTCCAGTCTGATAATCTTATATTGATTTCTTACTGTACTAATAGAGTGGTTTACATCCTTTGTCTTCATGGCATTTGAGATACAGCTTTCTATTATCTTAATCAAAGTTTCTAAGTTGCTTGTATGTACTAAAAGTATGAGGAATTGTATTTCTACTGCATGCTGTTGTTGCTAAAATTTATTTATAACCTGAATCAATTTATTACATTACTGATTAAATTCACTGTACATAAATGAGGTATGGCTTGTGGAATTGGACAGCTGGAGCTGTAGGCCTATTTTGGCCAGCTATTTAATCATATATAATCCATGCAAAGCAAATTTTCAGAATAATTTAGAGTGGGTTGTGCTGCCAAGCCAACTGGACAATTTTCTGTGTGCTGTGAAGGTGTTGAGGCACAGTTTGAATGCACCTGAAAGTATTAACATGGCTGAATGAATTGAATCCATTAAGAGCATGGAAACTTTTATTTGTGCCAAGTTATGGTTGTGGCCCCGGCAGGACTGGGATTTATTCGCATACTTTATTTACATACTGTATCTAATTAGATAAATTTTGTGACATGTTTTCTTACTCTGCTGCTATACTATGCACTATTAGGACTGCAAGTATTAGAAAGTAATTGAGGAATTTTGTAAAGCTGTGAGAATGAACTTTGCAGGCTTGTTTTCAGCTGCATCCAGCACTGCTGCTACACATATAATGCATCTCTTTTGATTTTAACATTGCCCAGATACAGCAATTAATTTTTCTTTGTGTTCCAGAGCAAGCTGCCCATCCTCCTAAACTTATACCAGAGAATGGCAGATAGCCATGTGCTTGCCAAACGGCCAAACGTTCCCCTGGAAAGATTACCTTGGACAGAGTTTTGTGTACTCTTGTATGAGAATGTTGAAGCCCTGATCTTGAATTTCCACAAGGCAAATGAGAGGGTGAGTGTCCCGAGTCACCAGCTGCCTCTTCTGAGTTCAGTGACATTTGTTCATACTGCAGTCTCATTAAAAAGGACTGATATTCATCCTCCACAAGGATTTGGGCATTAACAAATGAATACCATTAACTGTGACTTGTCCACTGCTCAGTTTGATGCAGTTGCTGTGGGCATTTAGATGTGACTGGAGTGTGCCTCAAGTCTCTCAGCTCCACTTTCTGTGCACAGCATTCTGAAAGGACTAGCCACAGGGAGCTAATTAAAAGATAATCCATCTTACTGATGAAGAAATTCACAGAATGTAGTCATTTACCATCATAAAGCAAGTCTTTATTTTACCACATTCCAGAGGCAAAATACACTTTTACCAGGAATACCATCTTTAAATTACGTGTTTGTTTGAAAGAATGCCAGTGCGGGATTTTTTTGTTTCATTGTAACTTTTGGATTATGACACTTTTATTCAGAAACACAATAGAAATACCTATTATAAAATATGTCAGTATTTGTGTGAAGGAAGAGTTGTACTTTTCTGAGTGATTTTAATGCAAGTGAGCTTACATGGCCTTTCTCTCCAGAAATCCTTGTGGTTTTAGGAAGGGAAAAATCCCTTTTTAAAGAAGTCAGCTGGCTCCAGAGACTAAGCTATGTCAATCTTTAGAATTTCACTTTGTGTTCTGGTTTATTTCTCTTTTAAAGTAGAAGGAAAGGGAAGGGGTTGAATATTGTTGTCAGTGTTTGTGGGGCTTCTGTCTTATTGTTGCTTGCTTTTTAACTAAGTATTGTTATTGAGACTGATTGTGAGGTCTCTAGGGCTCTTCTCAAGTACTTAGCAGCTTTTCTGGGGTTTTAAATTTTTTGTGTTGTACAAAACTTTTTTTCTACAGATCTGTGTGATCTATAGGGAAGAGTCTTGCTGATATTTTCTAGTAACAAATTGCAGGTGTGTGCATTTGGAGAGCATTGTTGCCTTGGTTCATTCCTCCATTTAGTTTAGGAGGTGCAGTGTTAAACCACAGGAGTAAATCTCTTCATGCTTGTTGAAAATACATTATAAACTTCTGAACTGCTTGTAAGGAAAACTTTCTCTATGCTAGAATCCCCTGAAATGGTTTTAAAACTTAATAATCTGGAATGCCTTTTCAACACACACACAAAAAAAATTGAAGGCCCTTTTTAAATTATTGTTTGCAATAATTGTGTCATCACAAACTTCTAAAGGATATACGTGGATAATTTACTAATTCACTAAAGTTTAATACAACTGTTTAAAAAAAATGTATGACGTGTCCAGCTGAGGTTTCCTACAAAGAGGATGGCAAACATCTGCAAGGTGGTATAAGGATGGCAAAACCAAAACCAAATAAAGTACTTTGTTTCAAAATATATTTCAGTTTTGCTTTGAGAACCAAGTAATTAATCTGCCATGAAAGGGTTTTACTTAGTTTTAATAGAAATATTGAAGAAATAATAGTTTAGATTTTATGCTGGAATACTCTGTGCTTTAAAACTTAAAGTGGAAAGGTAAATAACACTTTCTTCTTAAATGCTTGTCACACAGATATCTCACCTAGAATATATTTGCAAGCACAAGACTGACACTATGAATGACCTTCAGCAGAACCAGGAGGATGCTTTGGAGAAAATGTCTGAGCAGTTAAAAGCACAGGCACATTGCTTGCAGAAAGAAAAACAATATCTTGAGCAGCAGTACTCAAATCTCCTTGCAGAAGTTCATGCAAGAGCACAGGTATGGTGCTGTGAACTTTTTTTCTTTAAACATTTAATGGATTATTTCAGTAGTTTAAGCCCCTTTGCAGTTTAAGGTCATTTGGGAATTTTAGTATATTTTTAAAGTAAAATAAAAACACCAAGCAACAAATCAACCCATCATTGTGCTACTATTAACATCACTTACAATAAGAAATAAATTACTTTGTTGAAGCATTCTGAAGAGAATTTGGTCTACAGCCCCAATTCAAAAGCCTGATTTGGTCTACATGAGAATAGTAAAGCTGTTAAGATCAAATTTGCTTGTTTTAAGAATTACAGAGAGAGGGCAGCAGCTACTTTTTCAGTATCACTATTTGCTAAGATTGTATAGAGTAACAATAATGTGGTGTCACCTGGGGATTAATTTAATTATATATGTACTGCTCCTAAGAACAGTGGTAGATTTCAACAGTGTTAGGTGATTCTATTTTACTGATACTACAGTGAGAAGTGATTTAAAAGTGTAAAACTGTCACTGCTTGTTAGATGAGTTATTTGCAATCCAAAATGTTCCCTGTTATTCCACAGCCACTGTTTACTGTCTTTAACATCACATTCCTTCACACCTGTTTCAATTAAAACATTGTGAATAAAGGAAATAGATGCCCCTTTTTATTGTGAGTTACTGAAACTTACTTTATCAGAATAATGCTGTATTTGATGCACATTTCAGGACTGAAAGTCTTTGCACGCTGAAAAATTTAATCTGTCTAGTTTCATGTTCCAGCCTTCCTTACCTCTTTCCTCTCACACTGGCTTCAGGCTTTGTCGATCAGTGTTCTCTCTGAAATTGGAGAATGTTATTACTGTTGTTAAGTCAACTCATAAAACTGTATTGTGGGCACACAGGTGGTGTTGGACCTTCTGTGAGCTGTCACAGTATTGGTGGATTGTTGTCAGAAATCAGGAGTCCATTTGCAGTTGATGATCGTGCAAATTTCCCTCATACCATTGATTTGGCTTCATACATCTGATTCTGTAATTGTTTACTAGAAGAGATACTTTCATCAACATCATTACTAACAATTTTTGCTCCTTAAATGCATCATTTGAATGGCAAAATTAACAGTTTTCTTTTACCTCTTGTCTCAATAAAAACCCTCTAGTTAAAATTTCTTCCATTTTTGTTTGGTTTGTTTCTGTCACAGGAATGTGAAGAAACATCACAGAAAAACAGGCAAAAACTGTATGGCCTTGAACAAATGTGCGAGAAACTGGCCCAAGAAAACAGTTCTGTGAGAAATACATTATCGAATGTTTACAAGGACCACTCATCTCTGCTGGCAGCCTGTGCACTGCTGTCAGGGGCCCTGTGTCCTCTCTATGGCAGACAGTGTGCTATGTCTTTCCAAAGAGACCTTCTCCAGGACCAGGTGAACCTCCGTGAATTAGTGAACCAGGAGATCAGGACCCTCCTTAATGCTCTCCCTACTAACGTGGAAAACAATCAAGATGAAGCAAGGCTGAGGCAGAGAAGAGCCAAACACCTGCTTTATGTGTTCCGAAGAGCTGTGATAGCAGTTCTGGCCTCCAACAGGCTTAGAGCTCTGGCCCAAAATTCTTGCTCCTTTTTTGTCTGGACAGATGGCTCAAGAGGAAGCCTTGGAATTCAAGTTTGTGTGGGAGAATCCAGAGGCAGGCATCATGGGGCACGTAAGTGGAATGTTCTTAAAGTGATACATCAAACTACATGGTTAGGGAATAACAAAGAGCAATATTATTATTATTGTTGGGCATAAAGACACATTTAATGAAATTTTGAAAAATATTATTTATGGATTTATGTTTTTTATGTTTCTTGACAAATGTATTTCACTCTAAGAGGAAATGCCTAGTCTGTTAAGTGTTGCAAGTAAAATTGCAATTATACACATCAACTCAACATTGTCTGATATCCTTGATATTTGTGTTATGGATTTCAGAACCAGGTGCTATAGCATCTTCTCTGTGGTAATTATCTTGCAATGTTCCTAAATTATTAACCATCACCTTGCTTTTTGTTTTTTGGTTTTTTTTTTTAAAGGTATTTCCTTTTCTTTTTTTAATAATTTTTAATATATATTTCCTACTAAAAACCCACAAAAAATGATTCCTGATTCAGGTGAAATATTAGCATAGGATTTTGAAATTGTCTTTAGAGATTATGTCTACTTGTCCTCTTCTGTTGCCAGACCAGTTGATGCTTCCCCCTCTAAGGATTAATGGTATCAAAAATGTTTTTCAAATTAGACGATTCCTCTACATTTTTTTTCAGTAGCTCTGGGAGCATGATTAATATGGTCTAAATTGTCCTGATTAATTTGTGGTTTATATGGTTATTTTTGGTTAACTTCTGAAAGAGCTGGAGATAGCAGTGTGCCATATCCTAATGTTTCAGTTATCCTGCTAGCTGCAATTCTGTTTCACAGGTTTTGAAGAGGAAGGAGTTGACTGTATTGAAGCACTTGATTGGTTGACTAGCTCTAACCTCTATGCTGCAATAGTCAGTTCCCTCTCTGAACTGCATGACATTCTCAGCACACCAGGTAATTCTAAGAGTTTATTGTTGTAGCAGAAATTTATTAAATAAAAAAATAAAGAAGTCAGGGTGGTCACATCATTTCCGGTTTTAGGATTTTATCTAAATTATTCTGGATCATAGCTCTAAAGAGATATTTCTGAATATTATGATAGATACCTTTGACTAGAGGTTATATCCTGAGCTAGTCAACACAAATTTTAGTGGGGCTGTTTCCCAGAAGGAGTAACTTTATTGCTGGGTAAAATAATAACCCTCTTCTACATTCTCTGAATGATCACATCTCATGTACTGTTGGAACAGATTCATTTTCTTTAATGCCTGGTAGGGTATTTTTCAGTATATGAAGCCATGGAAGCAGAAAGCTGGAGAGTGTTTGTGGAGTTTATTTGCAGTGAGAACAGAAACAGGTTCCCTTGGTTTATCTGCATTGCTGCTATCCCTGGTTCTTTATTAACCTGTAGTTTTAGAGTCCCCTCATTTTTGTCACAGAAAAAAGGGTATTAGAAGGGGGAAAAATTATATGAATAAAGGAAAATAGCAGGACAAAAACAAGGTGATGCATTTTCCAAAAGGCTAAATGCTAAATTGCTGTAAAAGTTGACATTGAATCAAATGTGTTTAGATTCAGGTTTAGGCACTTTCTTCTTTGATCGTGCTGTTTCAAATAAACTGAATTCATATCCTTAAAAAGCAAAGTTTGAGCCATGTTTCAATATTCACAGTATTCTGTGTTTCAGAACATTCACAGGTTCCTTCCTGTATAAATGAAGAAGAACCAGATATTACAAGAAACTGAAACTAATAACGTGCTTGATGTTTCCTTTTTGTCGTTGTTTCTTAAAGATCCAAACTCCTGGCTTTCTGGACACTCACTTATCAGTGCAGCCAGGAACTCCTTTTCAAAACTGATGGACAATCTGAGCGTATTGATGGAGACAGTTCAAGGGAAACCTTGTGGTTGCAGAGCTTACCTGGAGAGGGACTCCCTGATACAGAGGCTGGCTTGTGGACTTCACAGAGTGAATGCCCAGGCCCTGGAAGCTGGATTTTATGACAGACTGCCCAGCACAGTAAGCAGATTTACAGTCCTCCTTCACAGAAACAGAAGTTTTACAGTAACAGTGAAGCTCCCTTGATAGGACCCTTCATTTTGCTGGTGATGAGTCCATGAAAATGAAGTAGCACTATATGGACACTATATGGACTCTCAGAAGTTGATTTGTCACACATTAGGGTGTGAATAGGTATTTTCTTTTATTGAAAAAGAATTTTTGGTGGAGGTTTAGTGTATCACAGTAAAAGACTTTTTTTTTTTTCCAAGTTCTATCAGAACTGTATTAGCTTTATAGGTACAAATTTGCTTTTGTCTTGATGTAAATGTCCATGTTGCTTTTTATTAATGTTTTCTATATTCTCATGTTTACCAACCTTTCTTTCAGTAAAGATAACCTTACCTTTAACCAAAATGAAAGGATAAACTCTTTCTCTCATAATCTTTTTAGTAGACTTTAGGTGAAAATAGTACTTCCTTGTAAACAGAATTTGCAGTAACCCTTGGTAGGTGACAGGTTCAAACTTTTGCCCTTGTGTATGTCTTTTAGAGATGGAGGGAAAAATTATAGTTTTGTCTTAATTTTCTTGGGTCTTAACTGTGATTTGTTTTATTGTTAAAATAGCAGATTTTATAGCCCATCAACTTGTTTTTGCTTGCTGACAGAGAAACATAGCAATCTTGCAGCAAGAAGTATTTAAATTATCACGAAGGCTTCATACAGCAGAGGTAGAGTCCCACTCACTGCACCTACAGCTTGCAGAATTCAAATGGACTTTCAATGAGATGCAGAAGGATGCTGAAAAAGCCCACAGACTTCAAGAGCAGTTAAATGCACTTCAAAATGTAAGTATATCTGATCTGTAGACTCTCTTGCTCAAAAGAGATTCTCCTTTCTACCTATTTTTTTATTTGTGTTCTTTTGGAAAACAAGCATAAAATTGATTTACTTTTAACAGAATTTTCCCGAAAACTTGCCTTGTAAATGTCACTAAACTAGAAGTCAGTTGTATTGAGAAATACCCCTTTACCACTGGAGTTTCGTTTTGATTTGTAGAAGGGGGTATCGTGTATAGTTTGGTCTTCAGCAATCCAGGTTCTCCCATTTTTTGGAAATGTTGATATGATTTAGGTATCCTAAAAGAAAATTTTACTTCAACAGAATAAAGTCAGCTGAAATGAGAGTATTCAGTAAGAATGTTCATGAAATATAAATATAGCAGGTTAAACTCTGTGTGGATGTTGATGAATGTTATGATAAATAAGATACTGATTTTGGTGGGCCTGTTTCCCTGAAGAAGTAACTTTATGGCAGGGGGAAAAAAAGCCTTTTTAGATATTCTCAGTAGCAAAAATGCACAAAATTCCCCTGAGTCTTTTGCTGTTGCTGCTTGACTTACTGAAACACTGTGGGTTCCCCACCCTGAAGCCTAGTTGGTAGAACCTGTCAGTGTGTCCCAATCCAAACACTTCTAAGCAGAGAATATCTGCTACATGATGGAAGGATCCATTGTCCTTCCTGTTCCTAGCTAGTAAAATGGGATTTATTTATTTTCTTTTTTTACTTAAAAATATCTATTCATCTTCAGTTTTGTTCTTAACAGGTTTTATTCCCTTAGTGTTTTGGGACAGTTAGATGAAAATTGTCACATTTTAGATTGTAGTCAAAGTGCAGAAGATGAGTTTCCTTAAAGAATTATTTCTTCTTTCTGGAACAGTTTTTCGAGGAGAAAAACAGTCCGCAAAGGTGTTTACAAGGATTAACAAGCTATCCATTAAAATTTTGTGCATTGATCTGCATATTTTTCCTCCTAAATATTGAAATGTTGCATCCTAGGGTGCAAATCTGAATAATGAATGTCAAGGCTTTACATGAATGTTCTTTATAAAAAAACACAGTAATTATCTGGTCTGCCATTTTATTGTTCAGTGATCTGCCTTCATGTTAAAAAACCTCAATACTAATCCTAGGCATGTGTTTATTTTAAAATTTGGTATGTTTGCAAATGGAACACAGGAAGTCAGGTAGGGAAACCGCTGAATATAGTTACAGAGTAAGACACAACTTCTTTCTCTTTCCAGAAAATAATCACCCAAGACAATATACATGACGAACTGGATAAAGCTTTGCAGCGTGAGCATGAGGCAAGATTGCTTTTACAAGAACACCAGCAACGGCTTCAGGAGTTAAGTGATAGACTAGAATTGCACACATGTGCAGACCCAGATAGAAACCAAGTCTCAAAGGCGTCTCTGATGGTAAGATTATTCTTCTGGAACAGTCACCAGAGTTTTACCTTTTGTTAAATAAATCAAATAGTGCAGTCTTTGTGTAAATAAAATAACAGGAATAAATACACAGACACTGCGTAGTCTGCTGGACTTTTAGGCTACTGAGAAAACAATGGCTTTTATTTTTTTTTTAAGCTATGGATGTTTTATTCTTAAAGATGTAAGAAAAAGTCTTCAATGGGAGCTTGTTTTGGGGTTTTTTTTCCTACAATAATTTTGTTTTCTAAAACACATTACACAGTACATAGCAATATACTAAAATATACTAAAAACAGGGGGGCAGGAGGTGGGGTTCCGAGTCAGTAATGCTTTTGCTGGGAAATTCATAAAATGTTTGTATGCAGTGGTCCAAATCTACTTTACAATCAATTTGTCTTCCACACTGGTTAGTAGCCAATGGCATAAAGTGAAGTTTATTTGGGCTGATAAGTAGCTCTGCTCTCTGACTGCTGACAGAGCCTCCATGATGCCACAGAGGAGCTGAGGAGAAGAGACCAAGTCCTGAATCACCAGAAGAGTCTCCTGAAAGACATAGAGCAGGACCGGCAGTGGCTGCATGAGACTCTCCAGGAGGCAGAACGTGCCCTCCAACAGGCAGCAAAGTGAGCCCTGGGGATGCCCCTTAAAGTGAAAAAAAATTCAATTCCTAATTCCATGGGCAGGGTTTTAGACCTGGCCAGTGTAAGGCTAGAGGATAAAAGTACATCTATCTCTTTTTTAAAAAATTCAGGTATAGTCTTCTTAAAACAAAAGTGTCAGTTCAGAATACGAGGTCATACATTTTATAGTTATGACATACTAGTGCTCCAAATTCTGGGTGCTGAAATAACTGGCAAACAAAATAGCTGTGCTATCTAACTGATCTGACAGCATCTCTTTGGCAGATCCTTAAAGTTGTGTTTATTTCAGAAATGATTGTATGTTCTCTGTGTTTCCATGCCATCTTTTTGTAGACAATTGATTTATAGTAAATATAGAAGCATCAGCTAGGAGACAAGTCTTAGCTGCCAAAGGGACTGAATCCCATTTTGGACCTAGCTTTTCCTGTGGGACAAGATAGATCTTCCAGCTGATTTCAGGGAGTTTTGGATTTAGACCTAACCCCCACACCATTTACATCATAACCTGGAGTGGAAGGAAAGGCTCAGGCACTGGTCTTGAAAATATTGGTAGTCCAAAGGAGCCCCCTTGACTTGAAGAAGCTTATTACTATCTTATTCTTACAGCCATATGGTCAGATAAAAAATTAGATCTTTGCAGACTTTGTTTTCCAATACTTATCAAAGTATGAAGTATGCATTATGAATATTGTTGTTCCATGGCTAGGATCTAAAAAAAATTTAATTAAAATTTCCCATTGTACCTGGGATCATTTAACCTCTGAAGAACAACATCTGAGAAGATTTAAGGGTTTTATGCGCCAGGGAAATAATGTAATTGATATAGTCCTCAATGAAATGTTTAACAAGCTAATTAAAATGAGAAATGTTATTTGGTATGATTTCATCAAAGCAGGTGTGACCTGCAGAAGGATTTGTTCTAAAAAGCTTGCCCTTCTCATCCTGCTCTAATCTATTTTGGTCATTTTAGTAAAGATCATTCCTTCTGGCCATACATATATCCAGAAAAGGTTATTTTAATGTGACATGTCTTTAAAAGTGGCATTTTTTTCCTGTTGTCTCAGTTTTGGAAGACATGTGTCTGCTAGGCAGGGCAGGAGCCTCCCTTGGAATGAAAATGTAGACCCCCCTCCCACTGAATTATTATAATTTTGAAATCAAGGGGCTCTCAGGCAGAGATCTGGGGATAGGAATAACAGTTCTTTACTAGTATAACCAGGCAAACAAACAACAACTACAGCATTAACAACAAAATAGAACCATGACAGCCTTCTTGGCTGAGACAGGATAGGATGGAGAGGCTTTGCTTCACAAACCCCTCGGGCAGTCAGTCCCGGTGCTCCTGCAGGGTTCCGAGGAACACTCAGCTGGAACAGCAGGGATGAGCTGAGATCCTGGGCTGGTGGCTGAGGTGGATCAGCAGCTCCGCGGCGGTGGCTGGCACTGCCACACGTCCCGGCAGGACAGGGGGTGTGAGGCCACCAACAAAGAGGGGAGAAGGAGAAGAAGCAGCCGCTCCGTCTGGGTGATGGCAAATTCCCCTCTTCCGTGGCAACAGCTCCAGCAAAAAAGTGTCCTTCTCTGAAGCTGGAGAAAGCCTGCCAACCTGTCCCTGCCCTCCCCTTTTCCTGCTCCCTTCCCCCCCTGGGCCCAGCCGAAATCTTTGTGTTTTCTCAAGCACCCCCCAAGTACCTGCAGCCAGGTTTTCCCTGAAAATAATAGGTAAAAATTCCACAGGTGAGCCAGAACTAAAAGGTCACCTAACCCCCAACACCTGTACATTGCAGCTGAATAGCAATAAAGAAATCTGCCCTTCCCTTCATTATTTTAGCTACTCTTCACAAGAAATAGGGTTTTCTCCTCCCTTTGGAACATATAAGCAAAGCAGATGAAATAAACAGAATCTGTCAGTGTTTTCCAGTACAAGAATATAATACAATCCTGCAAGAGTCTTTTTATGACTCTATATCCAAGCCATGATAGTTGTTCATTAATAGGCCTATAATTTCATCTATTTTAATTGCTTATCCTCAACGGAAGCACCTTTTGTATGGAAATGCACCAAATAGGGGCACATGAACTATTTTTAGGGTTTACATTAGAGATATGAATAAGAGAGAAAATCCTAAGTTTGAATTATCAACAATCCTTTTAGACATGACATTAGACATGACATCATTTAGACATGACAGTCATGAAATAGCAGAAGATTAATTTCTACATTGGTAGAGCTTCAGTTCTATAAAGTTACTCCATTGTTCTTATTTAGTTTTTTGTTTTATTTTTCTTTTATAATAGAGACAAAGAGTTGATGATTAATCATATGAAAGCTGTTGATGCCACCCTGAATGCGGTAAGAATTTGAAGTATTCCCTCTTTGTGTTTCCAAACATGCCAAAGCCTTAGAACTGCTTATTCTCAGGTGAGAAGTTGTTGTAAAGCAACTTCCTTTCCTCAGAGTTGAAGTTTCCCCCTTCAACTTCTTCCATCTTAAAAAAACACAGTGAAATAAAATGTAAGTTTGTAGTACACAAACAAGTTGTTCTAAATGTAAAAGTTATGACAAAATTCACTTTCCTTCCCTCACTGAGCACTATTTCCGGTTGCCAAGTGAAGACTAAAGGAACACACAAAAAATCAGCAATTGTTGTGGAGTTAATCCTCTACTGAATAATGAGGTCACATACGTGATGGCCATAAGACACATGGCTTTGTTTCTCCTGCTTTAACCTCTGAAACATCATAAATAGGAAAAGACTGGAAGTCATAATTTGTGATCAGAAGCTTCCATGGTATTTTTTTTTAGGATATTTTAAATTTAATAATAATCTCGAGTTTTTGTACCCTCGTATAGGACTATTTGAAGGTCCAACTAAGCTGTATATATTAACTATTTAGGAGAAACAACTATTTCCAATTACATCTCTAATGGCAGATGGGTTTATAACTGCTTTTAATCTAGAGCAACACAGAGCAAAAGATGTATTTTCATTACCTTGGAGTATCAATTTCCCTTACTACACCTTTAATTCCTAGCAACATGGAAATCTCTATTTTAGTTTCTGCATTCACCAAAACTGTTGTTAATTTCATTTCAGATATCTTTTTCAAGTCTCTTTAATGTTTATGGAAAGTGACAGAACCTAAACCATGTGTTTCACCTACAGCGAACTGTACTCGTAGAACATTTCCTTTGTGCCACCACCATCTTCATAATGATTTCTTTCAAACTTTGGAAGTGGATGTCATGCAGCAAGTGCTGTGTTTTTACAATAATACACACATGTCTTATCTTTGGTCTTTCTCTTTTCAGGCCAGGGCAAGGTGCTTTTATTTTTTATTTTTTGGCAGCATCCTCTCCCAGAACTGCGAATTAGAGACTTATTTGCAATGAAAATTCAATCAGTTGTACTTTATTCATGAATTAGGTCCAGCAATCAATGCAAGTCCACTCAAGGAGCTCAAGGAGACCCAGTTCATGCCAGCTGGTGTGACTGAAGGCAAATTACCAGTGATGCTGGTTTTTTTTTTCCTTTTAGATCAAAGATCAGGCCACGGCATCAGGTGCTGCAGCAGCCACTACCCAACCGCTACTCCCCAGCCTGAAGCTTGAGACCCTTTCAGAGGAAGCAAGGAGGGGCAGGCCAGAGGCTACAGCATTCCAGGTTAGAGCCTAAAACCAGTCCTGTTTAATTTTTTAAAATTTTCTTTCAATTTTTGCATCTGAGATAGAACACACAGACAGACTGCTCTGAGCATGTGGAGAGCAAAAAGCTTCAAAACTATTGCAGTCAACAGCTGGAAGACAATTTCCATGTATACACTTGCATATGGTATTTCAGAGATGATGGCACCTCTTAATTTTACAGCATTAAATAACTGATGGGAATACAAACATGAACAAAAGTGTATATACCTGAAAGTTAATATCCCTCTATCCTCCTCTCTTTTTCCCCTTAATATACACATGACTGACACCCAAGAAAGGCAGATTCTAAGCTGGGATTTTCTCACTGTCGCCCTCTTGCATGCACACATGCATTTCAATGTGATAAAGATATAAATCATGTGTGCATTATCATATGTCCACACTAAAATATGGAAATATGTCATGCCTTGAGATTCCCATGAAGCTTAATTAGCACAGATGTACTTTACTGCCAAAGGGTAGAGTTTCAAATATTTCCCCAGTACTGTGATGATTTTAGAGCTGTACAAAAGGTCCCACCAGTGGCATCTTTTCAAAGGAGGCATTGTGGCAATCACCAGGTTTAAAATCCTGCTTTTCTAATTTGCTAGTGGATGCTGCATTTTGTTGTTTTTTTTCTTTACCCTCCATCCCAACTCACAATCATTTTTGACCTCACAATGATTGCAGAAGCATCTGCAGGGCACCCTGTTCCCTGTTTCTTTCCAGAAGAGAATCAGAAATGCAAAAAGTTGCATTTCATATTTGCACAAAGTGCTTGTGGTATAACTAACATAGTACAGTACATGCTGGGGAGCTCACTGGAGGGGCAGAATTGTAAAGTTCTTGTTCACCTGGCAGCATCAGGTACACTTGGTAACCCAGGACATATAAAAACAGCACTAATGGCTCACAGTCTGTGTCACTGCAAACTCCCTTTTCTCCTTCCCTTTTCCTCTTTATCCCTTTCCCCATCTCTCTTTCCCCCTTTTCCCCCCTCTCTCTCCTCTGCCCTTGTCTCTAGTTTCTGTTTGATTCCTTTCCAAGCACATTTTTGAGGTTTTATTACAGAATTTGCTTTTTATAGCCAGAGGTCACCTAGTGGATTTTAATTTTACTCTATGCCAAACTGTATTGAGGGAAATCCTGCAGTCTTGGATGAGGCAAGCAGTTAAGAATCACTTGAGGGACACTTGTCATTAAAAGTAGTGAAGCTGTTTGCAGGCACATCATCTAGAAATGCCTTAGTCTGTGACAAGCACATTTCAATTAAAGGCCTTATAATTGGCAAGAATCTTCTTTTAGGACTAGAGCCACAGGACCAAGACATTTTGGAGATTCCTTCTGATGAGAAAAGATGTCATACTGGTTAATTTGCCACTAATGTTTCCTAGACACCACAATGAAATAACTAGATTGACTTTAGCTCTGTTAATATCTATTCTGAAAATCAGCAGTGTGAAACCAAGGAAAGGAAAGATGAAAAAATCTTTGTAAATTCCTGTTGTGGTACTAAGCTGATTTTTGTTTATACCACAGATTTACATTCAAAAGACCAATTTCATATAATCTGAAGAGAAAAATTAACAAATAAAATGTGATTAACCATTGTAAAGACCAATCATTTCAAGGGTTAGTTGAGAATACTTAAGGTAAACATAAAGTTTCCAGTACTGCCAAATCATTTGTGCTCTCTTGTCCTGCTAGCTTTACCATCAATCCAATCAGTATAACAAAATTGGGACATTCTTCCACTACATACATGGGAACAGTTACATTTTTCCAGTTATATTGCAATCAGATTACTTGTTTTTTGAGCTTTTTAGGTTTATAGTCTTTCTTCTGTTACACTCAAGTTAATTATTTTTGCTGAGGATTGGAAAGATTAGTAAATTGACTAATTTTGGAAGTGCTAACATTAGCCTGAAATTGTGTTGTAATTTTTTTGGGAACAGAAATGGAACCTGCACTGAGTCTTGTAATGAAATAAAATGAAAAATTTTATCAAGAATTCATTGCTGCACTGCACGCTTGAAAATATCTCATCAAAGCATGTTCTAAACTAGAATGTGGAGTTATGTCCTTTTCTTAACTGATATTAATATTCAAGATTTGGGAATAAAGGCAAAATCCAGTGTTAGACCTTTCTAATATTTAAGTCCTGGGACTGAAATTCTGCCTGGCTTACAAACACTATTTGATGTCTCCGTTAAAAAATATTGCGCCTTTTGTAAAAAATTTGGATGTCTCCTATTTGGCATTTAAGTAGAGCTTGCCTGGCACTAATGATTCCTTTTACTATTATTTAAAGAATGTGCTTAAAAGTTTTATGGAGCTCTACTCACTGGCATCTGCCAGACATGAAGCATTAACAACAGGAAGAGAATCTTCAGGGGTTCACATTAAACCTGAAGCAGCTGTTACACCTCCTGCTCCTCCTTCTAAAGGTAAGTCTGCTTTTCTAGCAATTAGAGTCACTTGGATGTGAGTTCTGAGACAGCATCTCCCTTCATGCTGCACAGCTTCTGTAGGCAAATACAGCAATACCTAATTGCTAGCATAATGGAGCAATAAAAGTAGTGTGAACAGAAACATTCAGAGACATTTTTTAGAAGAGAAAGGAGGTGATAAAAGCAAACACAGGAACTGAAATTACTACTGCATGTTTTTTGAATTGGACATTATCTGATTGGGGAATTATTTAATTTGGATGTTGTTGCTTGGATTATTTAGATTTTGGGAGTGGTAGCGGAGGGTCGGTGGTTTTATTTTTTGTTTAATTTCTTTAATACTGATATCCCT